TTCCTGGCACCCAGGGGGCCATGATCTTTGATCTCTAACTGTCAGGGTGGTTAAACACTGGAATAAATTGCCTAGGGAGGTTGTGGAATCTCCGTCTCTGGAGATATTTAAGAGTAGGTTAGATAAATGTCTATCAGGGATGGTCTAGACAGTATTTGGTCCTGCCATGCGGGCAGGGGACTGGACTCGATGACCTCTCGAGGTCCCTTCCAGTCCAATAATCTATGAATCTATGAATCTATGAGAGCGGAGAGACTCCATGGAGCAGGTTTGAGGCCAGGGGCTATGGGCAGAGGTGCTTACCTGGGCCTTTCTCTCTCCAGCTCGGGGAAGTGCTCTGGCACCACTTCACAGCCTGGCACAGCGGGGGTCCCAGTGCTCTGAAAGGAGACCCTGGTGAGAGCTCTGCTCCATGGCTCTGTCTGCCCAGGCCACCCACCCCTCAACCTCAGTCCTCCTTGGATGCCTTCCCCTGCACCAGCCGGTGCCCAGAAGCCAGAGCCTAGCACCACCCCCTCGCCTGGCTCTGCCAGGGCCTGCACTCCGCCGAGCAGCTGAGGCCCGTGGTCCAGCACACACTGCTGCAAGGTGTGGCCAGAGGGAGAGGAAGCCAGGGCATGGCCTTGCTCCTGTTTCATCCAGACTCAAGGCAGGAGCAGAGCCCAAACATCCCCACCCTCCAGTCTGTACACCGGGCCCTCACCTTCTGCTCCCGGGCAGGGAGCCCACCTCCAAACACGGCCTCACAGTAGGGACTGATGGGCTCCTCAGCAGGCTCTGCGGGCACAGACATAGCAGGAAAGGCAGTGAGCTGCTAGCCAGCGCTCTGCTGGAGCTGGGGGGTTGGGGGCCTAAAGGGGATGTGGTGGGTGACTCTATCCCTTAGCGCATGGGCACTGCTGTGGGAGGCAGGAGGGCCTGGTGTGGGACGCTGGGCACGCTGTTCACCCCTAGGGACGTCCCTGACACCAGCAACTCTCACTGGAGCGGGTGCCCCCCACCCTAGCCAGGAGCATGGCCCAGCACTGAGGGGCAGTGCTGCCTACCCCCAGCGCTTCCCAGCGGGGTGGTCCAGGCATGTGTCTGGGGACAAGCCCCTTGCTAGGCAGAGAACCCAGGAGTCACCCTCCAGAGGGGACAGTGGCCACCATTGGAGCAGAAACCACTGGGTGGGTTCTGGGGGGTTGGCAGCTTCCAAAGCCATAGAAAAACATAGATACCCCAACCTCCCCTTGCTCTAGCAGTGCCCTCACCCCCATCCCTGTATGGGCATCAAACCCCCACTCTAGCAATGCCCCACCCCCAACCTCATATGGGCCTCAACTCCTCCCATTCTAGCCATGCCCTCCTATGGGCCCCAACGCCCACCCGCCCCTAGCAGTGCCCCAACCGCCATATGAGCTTCAAACCCCCTGCTCTAGCAATGCAGACCCATTCCTGTATGGGCCCCAGCCCCTCCCTACCCCATTCCCCTATTGCCCACCCCCACTCCAGCAATGCCCCACCCCGCCATCCCTGTATGGGCCTCAATCCCCTCCTACTCTACTAATGCCCCCCAAAAGGCCCACCCCCCACACACACTATTCATGCCCCTGCACCACCCCCATCCCGGGAAGAAGCGACACAGGCGCCTTTGTGGGGACAGGCTGTGCACGTAGAGCACTGCAGCCCCCAGATCTCACCTGGCCAGCTGGCAGGTCTCTGTGGGATGGGGGGCAGGTCCAGGCTGGGCCATCTGGGAGAGCTAGGAGAGCAGAGGAAACACGTCAGAGTCTCAGGCAGCAGGGTCACCACCTGGCACTCTCTTGAGTGGAGCCTGCGCTTGGGGCAACCCTGCCCGGGGTGCGTTGCCCAGACAGGGGGCAGCAAGTAGCGTGGGGCAGAGGAAGGCCCAGTACTAGGCTGGGGGGAGGGAACTACGGAGCCTGGTGCAGCATCCCAGTCAGTGTCTACAGGGAAATCTCCCAGGATGTGGGGAGGGCTCCGACCTCACGGCCAGGCAAGGCCCTTGGAAGAAGGGCTGGCGCTTGCACCCACTGTCTACCCCCAGCCTCTGATTGCACAGGCCAGGCTGGCGGGGGAGGGGCTACCTGCCATGGGAGCAGGGCTGCTCCCCTCCTCAACGCCGCCATGGGGGAGCCTGTGACTGGAGTGGGTGCTCCCCTCCCCAGTGCCGCCATGGGGGAGCCTGTGACTGGAGTGGGTGCTCCCCTCCCCAGTGCCGCCATGGGGGAGCCTGTGACCGGGGGGGAGCCACTCCCGTCCCCAGTGCCACCACAGTGGAGCCTGTGATGAGGGCGAGGGTTTGAAGGCTTCTTTCCCCCAGAATTTCCCATCAATCCTGGAGTGCAACGAGGGGTGTCTGGAGGGCAGGGCCTCGGCCTGCCCAGACAGCCCCCCACATCCCACCCCGCCCCCAGCTTTACTTTCCTAGCTCTCCAGTGGGCTCAGGCCATTACTGCTGTCCATGTCCCAGGCCTGGCACTGACACTTCAGATTCCCTCCCCCAGGTCTGTCCCGGCCACCCAGCTATTGGCCACCAGCTCTAAATCATCAGCCAAGCCTTCTGATGCAGCAGCCTGGTGCTGCCTGCCCCACCCCACCCCACCCAGCCCAGAAGTGCCCACTTTCCATGGCACAGTGAGGCACGAGCAGGCTCCCTGCAGATGAGCTCTGGGCTCCCCCTCAGCCCCAGGCAGTGTGCCTGCTGCCAGGGGTACTGCTGGCTGCCCCACCTGTCACCACTCAGCTCTGTGGGACCTGCTTCTGCCGGGTCAGTGCCAGAGACTAGGGCAGGAACCAGCATGCAGCAGGACCCAGGGAGCTGCCCACCCCTGGCCGGATGGCGGGTGCATGCGGCGTCGGGACAGTAGGCGAAGGCATCCCCCAACTAGCTGCGATCTAGCTAGACAATAGCCGTGTGGCCATGGCAGCACGGGCAGCAGCATAGGCGAGCCACCAGAGTATGCACCCAGGGTCCTGGGCGGGACAGGACCCTGGGCGGGACAGGACCCAGGTAGCTGGCCCACTATTCCATGGCAGCTACACTGCTATTCCAAGGGAGCAAGCTCCATCTCAGCTAGTGCGGGAAGCAGAGTCTGCGTCCCCAGGTGAGTGAGGAGGGGACCAGGCAGGGAGCAAGGACTGAGGGAGATGACTAGGGCCCTACCAAATTCACAGTCTATTTTAGTCAAATTCATGGTCATAGGATTTTAAAAATTGTTAATTTCATGATTTCAGGTATTTAAATCTGAAATATCACAGTGCTGTAATTGTAGGGCTCCTGGCCCAAAAAGGAGTTGGTGGGGGGTTGCAAGGTTATTGTAGAGGGTGTGTGGTACTGCTACCCTCACTTCTGCGCTATGCCTGACGACTGCGCTGCCTTCAGAGCTGTGCAGCTGGAGAGTGGCGGCTGCTGCCCGGGAGCTCAGCTCTGAAGGCAGAGCTGCCGCCAGCAGCAGCGCAGAAGTAAGGATGGCATGGTATGGTGTATTGCCACCCTTACTTCTGTGCTGCTGCCTGCAAAGATGAGCCCTCAGTCAGCAGCTGCCACTCTCCAGCCGACCAGCTCTGAAGGCAGCAGTGCAGAAGGGTGGCAATACCACAACCCCCCTGCAACTCCCTTTTGGGTCAGGACCCCCAGTTTGAGAAACACTGGTCTCCCCCGTGAAATCTGTATAGTTTAGGGTAAAAGCACACACAAGACCAGATTTCATGGTGGGAGATCAAATTTCATGGACTGTGATGCATATTTTCATGGCTGCGAATTTGGTAGGGCCCTAGAGATGACCCAGCCATGGGTCTCTGAGCCCTCCCCATCCCGCTACAGCCCCCGCACTGTGACCTGGCCACGGGACCCTGAGACCTCCACAGCCCCCTGCGCTGTGACCCAGCCAGGGCCCTGATCCCTCTCCAGCCAGGTCCCCTGCGCTGTGACCCAGCCACTGGGCCCTGAGCCCTCCCCAGCCCGGCCCCTGCACTGTGACAAGGCCATGGGCCCCGGAGCCCTCCCTAGCCTGGCCTGACCCGGCCCCCTGCACTGTGTCCTGACCATGGGCTCTGAGCCCTCCCCAGCTTGCCCCCTGCACTGTGACCTTGTCACAGGACCTTGAGCCCTCCCCAGCCCGGCCCAGCCCCCTGCGCTGTGACCCAACCTCAGGGCCTTGAGCCCTCCCCAGCCTGGCTCAGCCACCTGCGCTGTGACCCAGCGAGGGCCCTGAGCCCACCCCAGGAGGGTCCTTGTGCTGTGACCTGCAGGCACAGTTCCTTCCTCTTTTAACCTCTAGTAACTAGATCCTGGAACAACAGCAATGCTTCCCACTAGCCACAGGCACCTCCACTGCTCCTGAGCCAGCCCCAAAGTGACCTCAGCAAGTCCCCTTCTGCCTAGAGGGCCACAAGGTCCAGCAGATCCCTTCCTCGGGGCGTAACCCGCGCTCAGGGCCCAGCACTGGCCTGTGCCCCCAGCCCTGAGAGATCCTGGCCTGGCCTGGCCCATCCATGCTGTGCGCCTTGCCGCAGGGCTCTCCTCATTTCTGACCTCAACACAGAGGAGTGCTATGAAAGGGGCTTTGTTAGGGTCCACGCATGCCCTCCCCCCCACCTCCAGAGGCCTGAAACGGGGCCTGGGGCTGTCATTTAGGCCAGACGGCTGCACTGCTGGATGAGGCTCTCAGGGGAGACCTAAGCAATGTCTCCGGGAGACATGAGGGGCACAGCAGGGGTTCGGCCTGCCCTGCCCTGCCTGAGCTCTGCCCCTCCTCCTGCTTCCAGGCAGAGGGCAGACTGTGGTGTTAGGAGCAGGCTCACACTTACTCAGGCTTCTCTGCTGGTGTGGTCCCTTGCTGTGTAGCTGAGACCAGTGGCTGTGGGGTAGGTTGATTCCTCGCAAGCTCCTCATCCCCTGAACACCCAGCTGGTTGTGAAGGGGGTTCAAGTCCCTCATAAATGATATTGGAAACCATCTCCATCCTGCCCCATGCAGAGGCTGGCTGGGAGGGGGCGCCCGGGGCTGGCGAGGGCTCTCTCTGCGCACTGGCAGCAGGGCTGGTTGGAGCAGACAATGGGAAGCTGCACGGCGAGTGGCTCACTCCTGGGCTCACAGGGCTGCAATCAGCTGGCTGGATCCCCTGGCTGAGGCGTGGAGAGACACCGGGGATGGAAGGAGAGGATTTTCCACACCCAGCCTGGATCTCTACATCATCCAAACCCACTTCAGCCACCCCAGCCCGGGGCATTGGCGTAGGCTCCATAGCACTTTCCTTCCCCACAGGCTGGGGTGCCTGGGGGCCTGCTGAGCCTCTCTCTCCTGAGCCGGCCTGCTGCTCCAGGGTGAACTCCGAGCGCCCAAGATCCATGGAGCTTTCCCCTGGCACAAACCCCTCGTGTACAATGAAAGCAGCAGAAGGCCCCTCACAGCCAGGTTTGCGTGTTGGCACTGATGTCCGTGCCAGCGGCGTGGGCACCAGGCCCTGCTCTGGCCTTGCTGCTGGGTTAGGGCGTTGGAAGAACGTCCTAGGCTTGGGTACCGGCTTGGCAATGGGTGGAGCAGGCTCCATCTCCAGAGGTGGGTTTTGGCTGGGGCTAGCTGAACACTGGTGGTTCCCAAGCCCATCAATGGCTGCTACTGGGGCTCCATTAGCAGTACTTGTCCCATTGTTCTCCTTGCCTGCTTGGCACACTCTGGGCACATCCAGGGGCTCTGTACATGTGCCAGGCTTGGCACAGGCATCTCCTGCCATGGGCCTGCCTTTGTCTTGCACCAACAGCTGCGTCTGCTGCACCAGACTCAGGATCCTTTTGCGGTGCCCAGTGGCAGTGATGCCGATCCGCTGCAGGTCTTTGTTGCCTAGGGAGACAGCATCTCTGGCCACTTGGAACCCATGCTGCTTAAAGGTTTCCTGGTATCTCTCCAGATGGATGGTGGCCAGCCAATCAGCGATGTCAGAGTCGGCGTCACACGGGGAGAACATGGCCTGTGGACCCCCACCAGGGGACTGTCAGGCCATCATCTGAGGAAAGAGAAGAGAGGTTGCGGCATCATTGAAGAGACAGGAAGAGATGGTAGTGCCACAGAATAGCCAGCAGGCCCAGTGCTTGGGAGAGCCTGTAGGATCCATGCCCATGCTAGCGCTTTGCTAGGACTCCCCCTGTGAGCTCTGACTGCTCTGCTCCCAGCTCTGTTAGATCCTGCCATGGGCAGTCAGTGGGCTCATGTGCTGCCAGAGGGGTGAGCACTCTGAGCAAGGGCCAGAGCATCAATTGCCCAAACCCTGCCCCAAGCCTTCCAATCCTGACCCCCCTTTTATCTGAGAGGTCACGACCCCAGCCTGTGAGGGTCTCACACACACAGGCCTCTGGCTCCCGAGGCAGAGCTGACTCGATCAGACACGGGGTTGTCCCCTGGCCAGACAAAAGCAAGCCCTGTCCATGGGCATCACTGACTCCATCCCTGCCAGCCCCTCCTCAGGCAAGTTGGGCAGAGGAGCCAACACATAGCTCTGTCTGGGATTTGTGCTTTGCTGGTATGGAGGATATCGGGCCGTTTGCTGTGTCCAGAATCTCAGTCCGTCCCTTGTGGAGGGGGGACAGGGAACGCAGATACCCATGTTGCAGCTGGGCCCCTCCCTAGGGAGGGTTCTATGATGCTGGCTGGCTCAGGGAGGGTTCTGTTCTGCTACTGGAAGAACAGCATCAGAATCTCCCTGACGGTAGGGAGGGCATGAGAGAGGTCAGCATGACTCACAGACAAGCCCAGGGAGACAGCATCTGGGACACAGCCCCCAGCCACACGCATTCCAGGCCAGACAGGCTCCCAGCTGTGCTCCCCACACTGCCTGGGGAGATTGCCCACGCAGCTTGAAGGGGCAGCCCCTCTCCCTTCAGATAAGGCCTCTCGGATACCTTGGGACTTTGTAGGGCAGGGGCTGTCTCTCCCTGCATGTCTGTGCAGCACCCAGCATGAGAGGGCCCTGATCCTGCTTGGGGCTTCAGTAACACAAACCATAATAACACCAGCTCTCCTCTGCTCCCAGCTCAGGGCTGCCAGCAGAGCTCCCTCCATCCCAGGTCCCAGGACAGAACTCAGGAGCCCTGTGTGCAGCACGATGCTGTGAGGTCCTTTTCCCATGAATCACACTGCTCTGCACCAAGCCAGCTGCGCTGACTCCACGGCCACCAGCAGGGTTTCCAGTTCCTCCATTTCCTCCTATTGTTCAGGGCAGACTTCCTTCCTTCCTGCCGCTCACAGTCTCCCACGCAGCCCCCTCCCGCCTCCCTGCAGGAGCCCTGTCGGCCCTGCACAGGGAATGTGCGGCACTGGGAACGGGTAGGTGCGCATCTGTGCACAAGTGTGCGCTGGTGTGTCTGCGAGCGTTTAATGTATGAGGCTGTGAGAATCTGTTGGTGTCCGCAGCAACGTGTAGCCATGCACTTCAGTGTGGGTGCTGTTGTGCAGATGTGTTTGTGCATGTGCAGAGGTAGTGAGAACAGAGGATACATGAATTTGTCCAGAACCAATTAGCTAAAAAGCCTGGTATGCCAATTAACCTGGAGAGCTCTCCCCATCACAGCAGGAAGCACAGCTGTTTATGTGTAGGTCCTACACTAAATGCCATGAATGTTTTTAATGCCATTTAGTTTTGGAAAGGTGCCCAGGCTAGAGCAGGCCTGTATATCAGTGGGAACATTTGCCAGGACCCAGGCTGTGCTGACACTCAACCATCTGGACCTTCTCTGGCAGGCCCATTTCTGTAATAAGGAAAGGGAAACCTAATCCACTGAGATGGGGCAATAGCAAAGCAGGATCCCAAGCCTGCCTGAGGCTGTGGCTTTATAATCGCACCTTCCTACAAACAACTAGGCAGAGACTGTGCAGGGCAACGGTGATCTGGCCAAGCAGCCATGGAGGCCAGGAAAGAAACATTTATCTGTAGGAAGCCCTCTCCCCGCCATACCAGGTGCCAGGGAGTATTGGCTGGCAGGGCAGGGGCTTTCTCAGCCCCCCAGTACCAGGCACAGGCACCAGGGGACATTGGCTGGTGGGGAGGATTCTCAGCCCCCCGTACCAGGCGCCAGAGGGCTTTGACTGGGAGGGGAGTGGGGGTTTCTCAGCTCCCCAGTACCAGGAGGCATTGACTGTTGGGGGGGAGGGGTTCGCAACTCCCCAGTACCAGGCGCAGGATGCATAGACTGGGGAGGAGGTTCTCAGCCTCTTCTCCCTCCCCCCCCGCACCAGGTGCCAGGGGGCATTTACTGGCTGGGGGGGAGGGAGGGCAGGTTCTCAGATCCCTGGTATCAGGCGCCAGGGGGCATTAGCTGGGGGGCCGGGGGTGGAGGGACGGGACTGGAAGCTGACTGCCCCTGCCAACTGTCCAACAGAAAGAGACTGTTTCCTGCAGCCCGGGAGAACAGAACCCCCCGCCCCTGGCCCGGCTGCCCGAGCCCACAGAAGCCCAGGCGGGGAGCGAACCGCGCCAGTCACCGCTCCCGGCCGTTAACTCTGGAGCCGAGCGATGTCGAGTCCGAGGATGGCCGCCCCCTTTGCGCTGTCACAGCCGAGCCCCAAGGGGGAGGCTGCCCGACCCGGCCCAACCCCTCCGGGCGCTCAGCGCGGCCAGTCCTGCCTGGCAGAGCCGCAGGCGGTGCCCTGCGCCCCCTCCCGTCCCCGGAGCCCCTCACCTCTCGCCCTGCAGCGCCGTCCGCTGGACCAAGCGCGGCCACCAGCCCGGGCCGCTCCTCGGCCACAGGGCTCTGCGCTGCTCGCCGGGCTCAGAGGAACTGCGGCTGGGGCTCGACAGGAGGACGGGACCCAGCGCACTCCCCCGGCCGTCCGGCCCCTCCCCTTGCCGGCACTTCCTCGCCATCCACCGGCCGCTGTACCCTTGTCCCCGCCCCGCACTGCCCCTGCCTCCTCCCATGGTACTGCCCCCTGCCCCCCACAAACATTGCCCCTGCCCCCTCCCTCCCTGGACACTACCCCTGCCCTCCCCTGCATTGCCCCTCCCCTCCGGGCACTGCCCCTGTCCCCCCTCCCTGACAACTACCCCGTGCCCCGCCCTGCATTGACCCCCCCCCGCATTGCCCCTGACCTTCCTTCCCCACAGCACTGCCTCCTCCCTCCCTGGCTCTGTCCCCTGCCTCTGTCCTTCCTCTCCCATTCACCAGCCCCTGCCCTTGCCCCCACCCTTCCCACATTGCCCCTGCCCTTCCACTCCCCTCCCCTCCTGAGCACTGCTCCTTTCCTTCCTTCCTCTGGCACTGCGCCTGCCCCCTCCCTCCCTGGGCACTGTCTCCTGTCCCTGTGCTTCCACTCCGCTCTCTTTGCTGCCCCTGTCCCCTGCCCTTCCTCTCCCATCCACCAGCCCATCTCCACCTCTGCCCTCCTCGCATTGCCCCTGCCCCCTCCTTCCCTGGGCACTGCCCCCTGCCACTGCACTTCGACAACCCCCCCCCAGGCACTGCCCCTACTCTTCCCCTCCTATCCATCATCCCAGCACCTGCCATTGTTCCAGCACCTCTCTTCCACCCCCTGCCCAAGCACTGTCCCTGCCCCTGCTATTCCTCTCATATCCACCAGCCTCTGCCCCTCCACCTGTCACTGCCCTGTCCCCGACACTGGATCTGCCAATCTGCCCCACCTCCCACTCTGCCCATGGCCTGTCCCTTTGCCCTGGCCCTTCTCTCTCCTTCTCAGCCCGTTTCTTGCCCTGTGTCTGGCAGTCAATCTCTGAAGCCTTCAGTATAAGCTGCTGTGGGGTGAGGATACCAGATTCAGCAGGGCCGTGGTCTGGTGTGTGAGGGGAGGGGAGAGTTACTGGGCTAGAAGGGCCGTCGATCTGAGCTGGTGGGGCAGGGGAGTCTGAGGGCTGCTGGAGGGGATCCCGGTAGCCCCAGGCAGCAGGAGGGAGTTGGAGTGGACGCAGTGCTGGGAGGGCCAGTTACAGGCGGAAGTGGAACCATTGTTTACGCTGAAGCCCTAGACTCACCAGTGGGTCCCTCCCAGGCTGTAGCTTGGGAAGGCTTGGCTTTGAGTCTTGCTCTCCTGACAGGCGTGACTCATCCGGCCAGCCCAGGGAGCCCAGGTGGCAGCTTTCCCCACAGAGAGAGGCCACAGGGACAGCTCCAGCTCATGCCGGGGTCCTACTGAGCACAGTGCTCTGCAGGAGAGCCATGGGGAGTGCCCTGGGCCCCTGCCAGCTTGGTGCAGCCTGGGCTCCTGCCTCCTTGGCATGGGAGAGAGATGCAGCCTCAGTGCTTAGCCTGGGGCCGAGGGACTTGCTGCTGCTGCGCAGTGCATGACATGCTACCCCAAGCTGAGCCCCATGCAAACATGAGCAGCGTGCTGGCCTCCCTCTCGCTGGACGCTGACTGGCCATGGCTGCTGGAGGAATGAGGTCCTGTGAGCTGGCCAGATCCCTGGGGCTGCAGCTTGGGGTGTGTTGGTGCTGAGAGAGCTCTTGCATTGTGTGGGCTCCATGGGAAGCAGGGGATGAGCTAGCTGGTGCCACCTCTGCACCTCATGGCGGAGGAGGGGTTGCAGCTGGAGCATGGCTGGGCCTAATTTCTCCTTCACCCTAAGGCACAGGAATCCCCTAGCATCCCCAGCCCAGCTCCAGAGCTGCTTTCACACAGTCCAGCCTGCTGTGCTCAAGTGCAGCCCCTTGCAAGAGCCCTGTGCAGCCTGGGGATTGCACCACTGCCGCCCTGTTACCCAACCCCAGCCGCAGGGCAAGGTGAGCGCTGAAGGGAGAGGCTATCTGTTGCTGCGGGGGCGGAGGCTGAGTTTCCGGCCAGTCTCACAATATCCGTCAGCCCCTCCTATGGCTACTAGCAAGGTGGAGAAGTGCTCTGCGTCCAGTCGGGATTGCTCAAGTGCCCAGCCCCCCGCACTGCAGCCCTGGGTCTCCCTGCCCCGGGGCACAGGCCCAGCAAGCAGGGAGGGGGGTTTGCAGCTACGGGTGAGAAGCTGAAGTAGGCCGGCCATGTGGAAGTCTGAATTGTGCCACTGGGGCAGAGGCGCAACTTCTCCTTATTGCTGGTTTGTTTCCACTTTGGACGCAGCAGAAGCAGAACTGTCTGTAAGGGCTCAGAGCTCAGTCTAACCAGAGCCCCTGCCCCTCCCTTTCTCCAACTCCCTCACTGGCCTGCCCACCATGGAGTAGCCTGAGCCCCCTGGAGCTGCATCCTGCACAGGCCAGCATTGCCAGTGAGGGATCGCGGCAGGCCACCTGCAGCATCTGGAAAGCCCGAGCTGGGTGACCACCGATCGTGCCATCAGATAAGGCTAGCAGCTAACACCCTGTCTCTATCGGCGGCTGCATCCGTTCAACTGCTGGCTGAAAAGAAACTGCTCAGCCGGCTTGTGAAAAGTTTGGCTTTGCAGACGTAGGAGCCGCCCTTCTCAGCATCGCTCTGTCTCAGCAGGACAGGCGTGCTGAGGGGCTGAACAGGGATTGGGGTGATCCCAGACACATGGCATGGACGTTAGAGAGCTGGCCAAGATCTGTTCCATCACCAGCCATCTCTTGGGCCTCTGGCCTGGTCTTCACAGAATGCTTGCTAGTGCTGTGTCCTGAGATTCACCAGTGCTTTTTTGTTACACTCCTAGATCCCCCCAGCCACCCCATCCCTGTGGTATGGTGGGCGAGCAGGTGTGCCCTAGGCACAGTCCAGAGCCACTGCCGTGGGCGGTGCCCTGCGCCCCCTCCCGTCCTAGGCACGGGGTGAGGGGGGAGCGGCACGGGAGGGGGAGAGCAGGCAGGGCCTTCAGACGGGGGGGCGGGGGGAGCAGATGGGGTTTGCTCTGCAGTTCTGGAGCCCAGGGAAGGGAATCTGTGAGTGAGAACCTGTCACTCAAAGCTATTTCTGACAGTGTTGTGACTGGGGCCCTTCCTCTGTTGTTTCCTGTTGATGTATTTGAGGGCGTGCTGGGTTAGGCCTGCTGCCTATGGCCTGGCTGTCTGCCTGCGGGAGCTGGTGGGACATTTTTTATGAAATGTCTTTTCACAGAAATCTTCTATTTCGCTGAAGCCGAAACATTTCGTGGAGATGTATGGATTCTGGCCAAGTTGACAGGAAGGTCTCTGAGGTCAAGTGGTGAGTCAGTTCCAGAGACAGAGGAGCCCAAATCAAAATCTTGACCTTTTTGATCCCAAAACATATGTTTTTACACAATACTGTTTTGTG